ATTAAACTCCATCGAGTCGGCTCCTGATGTATGTCTTAGTGACTGCTGTTTGTTTTTAGGATGTGATCTGGTTTTTCATGTCCATTTTTCGTGATTATGACTATTCTGGATAAAGAATGTTTTGAGCAGAGGTGGATTCAAGGCACTCCCCCTCCCCCTTAATTTTTTAAGGAAAAAAAAGGGAAAATATATTCAAATTGAAGTGCGAGAGTGTAATTTCCGGCCATCTAGAGATGCCTTAATCATAAATTTTCTTACCTCAGCCCCAACCATGGTGGGGCTAAGGTGGGTGGTTCCTCGGTCTGTGAAAATCCCTCCCTGATTCACCTCTCTTTCGAATTCCTGGATTTGCCACTGTTGATTTATTATATAATTATTTTTGCGCTTATTTATAATGCGTCTATTGCAATTTTCACTCTATCCTCTCAAACAGTCCTAAGAACGTTCAGAGTGCGCTACTTCACAGGGGGATTCGCACCCTTGACCCCGCCGGGGTCATACGTAATTCGCATAACGGCTCCCCCCCCTTTCAAAATCCTGGCTACGTCCCTGAGTAATATATGTAATTAGCTATGAATTTATCGTTGACAAATATTAAGCCCTAATGAATGTCATACTTCCGAACCATGTAGTATTAATGCAGATTGTAAGAATACTGATGGACCCTGAACTTGTATTTTTTAGATATTAACGAATGTGATCAAACAAACCAATGTGATACCAACGCTGAATGTGCAAATACCGCCGGATCCTACGATTGTACATGCAATGATGGATACGAAGGAGATGGTTCACAGTGCACAGGTAGGCCTATAGAGTTTAAAATTATTTACTGTATGAGAAGTCAACCACTAAAGTTTTGTTAGCTTATGACCATTAGAACCAATAACATAATAATATATTTAATTGTATTGTGTAAATACAGCAGAACCCCTTCTTTAAGACATCGTATTAAGGGTACACTTTTTCGGCCACAAAACGAGGGAAAGTATATCTTTTAACACTACAGTCATGTCCTATTCAGGGCCGTCAAGAGCGGCCGCGGGCCTCAGGCCATCTTCGCTGCTCGAGCCCATTGGTTGGGGGCCCGGGTGGGCATATCACTGTTTTCCACTCCCCCAGAAGGTACGGCCTTTTAACGAAATAGAGGACTATAAATTTAATCGATTAAAAGTGCCTAATTTCACCAGGTCATGAAAAATAAAGTATAGAAACAGGAAAAGTAAAGGCTATCCTTCCTTTATTTTTAAAGTAGGCCTATAATGTTAAAAATGATTGACTATATTACCGTATGAGAAGGCATAGATTTATACTCAGCATTGTAGAATCAGCAACAGTAATAATAAACTGAATAACAGTAAAACAAGCAAACATAACACGGAATTAAAATTATTACAGAAATATTAATTTATTTGAATAATTAGCATACTATGAATTTCATTATGTTATATTAATTAATGCCATCAGTATTATTGCACCAATACTGATAGATCCGTTTATTGCGTATGTTAGGAATATTCCGCCAAAAGCTCTGTTTATGATGGTAAGTTCAGAATACAGTAAATTAAAAAAATATAAAGATTAAAGGCAGGGCCAGATTAATATAGGGAATTTTGGGACGCCAGCCCCAGGCCCACAGGCTCCAATGGTGAAAATAGGCCCCCGAACGCAGAAAAAATATCACCGAAAATCTGGTTTTAGGTTTTAGTCACAGAGTATTTAGGCCCGCTTGCAATAACAGCACTAGGCCCCACAGCCCTTTAATCCGGCCCTGTCAATTTGTGGTCTGAGCTTCTTCTTTTCGCGTATGCATTGTAAATCATAATGTCGATTTAGAATTTGCAGGTATAAAGACTTATTTCACACGGATGTTAGTAGCAGGGAGGGGCAATTGAAGGCTGCTTTAAATCCTTTGGGCCGAGGTGGTGTAGTAGACCTTCCGTCTTTAAAAGTTCCTCCATGGGTCTTCTCTATTTTCGAATTTCTTGATCCGCCACAGATACGCAAATGACGGCCGGTACTTGTCTCACTATTACTTAGTAGGTCTATTCAGTAATAATATTACTATTTGCACTGGATATTCCATTTAAGCCCTCAAATTTAATCCGGTGATTTTGATTATAACCTATTGATTATAATGGGAGCTTTGCAGTATTTCATACTATATATTGCCACTTTCATTGATAACTTGTAATCTAACCTGCAGTCTTCCTTTTCAATCAATCAATGGATTTTTGGTGGCACTGTTTTTTAATATCGTTGTTTTCTCGGTTTTTCTTCGAAATTAGTTGTTGTGACGACTGTTACAGTAGAGCCGGCCACTCCAAATCAGCTTAGTATTGCAGGTAAGACTGCGCTTACTACACTCTAGAAATAGTGTGGAGGGTTTGAAGTTCCAAGCAATTTTGCGCCGTTTTTGGTGACACATACTAAACGTGTTTAGGCATAATGAACTTAAGTAAGCATAATGACGTATTGTTAGCTTTAAATGTTCTTTGGTGCCTAAGCACAGTTATGCTAAAAGACGTCAAGATCCATCCAAAACATTATTTCGTATGCCCAAACACGTTTAGCTAAATTTAGATGTCCCCAAAATTTTTTCTAGATTCAGATGAGCTTTGTGGTGTAGATCTTTACAGTTTACAAGGTGCATGGAGGTGTTACTATTCTAAAAGGAATATTATTTACTATGACTTGCAAGCTGCGACCACTCTAAGCTTAGCTATACCTTAGCTCCACAATGTGGAAGGTTTCAGTCAGTTGTATGAGAAGAAGTTTAAATATCATACTTATATGCGAATATATACCGTAAGTCTTCGTGGTCCAATGATATGATACTCGAACGTCTGAGATAGCGAGGAATCTGACAAATATATAGGCCTACATGTGTGTGTGTGTGGGTGTGTGTGTGTGTGAGTGTGTGCGTGGTGTGTGTGGTTATTCATGTACTGTTACGTGTGCGTAAAAGCATTCTCCCGTGTTGGAGGAGAAAAAATAAAATTTAAAAAACCTACCTTTTCAGGACCGATGAGCTGATTTTTTTTTTGATTTTTTTTTTGGTACAATGGGAAAATTAAAAGTCGGGAAAGCTCATTTCCCGCCATCTAGGAATCAAAATCGAATCGTGCTAGTGTAAACCTCTCTTATTTCTTTTATTTTCTATATGAACAATTGCTTTTTAGCTTTTTATCGTTATCGTCATAGTGTAACCAGGCCTTTAAGCCTATTTAACGTTTTGGTTGCAGCTATCGGTGGTTGTTCAAGTTCATCAGAGCAAGTTTATGGCCGCATCACATCTGAGAATTATCCAGGTGGATATAATCCATACTCATCGTGCCAGTGGACAATTGATGTAAGCGATATTAAAGAAAAGTTCAGAAAATGTGTGGTTTTTTTTTTTTTTAATATTTTGACAGCCGCGCCTAAATACAGTAGTAGTGGTAGTCGTCAGGGTGGTGAATATTAGTAGTGGTGGTGGTATTATTATTGTCATCATCATCGACGCCGGCTGACCGACAATAAATTTTTTTGGCATTATTATTATTATTATTATTTATTATTTATATTTATTTTTATTTTCATTTTTATTAATTATTATTATTATTAATTATTATTAATAATAAAAAAATAATAATTAATAATAATAGTTAATAATAATAATTAATAATAATAATAATAATAATAATAATAATAATAATAATAATAATAATAATAATAATAATAATAATAATAATAATAATAATAATAATAATACTGCTACTGCTACTATTACTACTACTACATTGGATCAATATCCAATGGAATTACATTATTCCTGGAGCTTGGTGTCAAGAAGTCTCCTCAAACTTCTAGGACCTTCCTGAGGGTCCTTGCCGTGTTCAGAATCACATTTTTCTTTCAGTTCATCTATTCTGGTCTCTATACCGATGTGTTCCAGTCTTTTCTTTAATTTCTATTAATACATGATCAGTCTGTATGGTAAAATCCCAAAATACTTTACATTCGTCGTTTTCTAGCATAGGCTCGGGTACATGTTCGTACATTTTTATTGACAACAAAACCTTTCTTTTTTCTCTCTCTTTTGTGTGGGTAGCGCACCTTTATTCAAAATTTAAAAAAACATATCGCATTCAAATTATTTACATGTACAATATTTTCTTTTATTTTTTGTTCATTAATAAAAGTCATTATCACATTAAATATTAAATGTCATAAATAAAAAATAATAATATTATGTTTAACCTTATTTCAATAATAAGATTCAAAATTCAAGATTCCTTTATTATCATTAACCAAACATTTGACAAATGAAATTCTTTTTGTTTGCTGCATACAATGAAGACATGGAAAGATATGACATGGGAAGATATGAAAAACATTAAAAACAACAAACGGATACAATATAAATGTATCTATCTACTACGGCAGTTATCTGGCGCAAATCTCAATAAATTCATGGATAGCATTGATTATGAATGAATTTCGGTGTCTATTTGTGTGCCCCACCCCTACCCCCCAACCCCACTCCCAATTGGTTTAATTCTACCTGACCTCTGATAAGTGATAAGCTGATTTAAAGGGTGTTTGGTGTGATTAATATACTTCTTTTTTTAATATATAATATATAAACCTTTCTCTTTACAAACTTCCCAATGAATTTTCTTTCCAACCCAGTCGTGCCTTCTTTTATAATCTTTTGTGCTAATTTTGGGCATTCGCTCACAAACCACCTGTCTACACATTCGACATTTACTTTCTTCTTTGAGTTCGTATACTCTAGCTTTTATCAGGTTTGTTGCAAGTGCTTGGTCCTGTGCTGCTCTCAGTCTCTCTTTTTCTTCTTCTTCTTCCTCTTTTTCTTCTTCTTCTTCTTCTTCTTCTTCTTCTTCTTCTTCTTCTTATTATTATTATTATTATTAATATTATTATAATTATTATTATTATAATTATTATTATTATTATTATTATTATTATTATTATTATTATTATTATTATTATTTATTATTATTATTATTATTATTATTA